TCCCCCTCAAAGAGCAAGCCCAGGAAGCAGTTGGCTGAGCTGCAGCCTCCATTCCCAAGAAACTCCAATAGGCACCCTGGACCCTGAAGCACCCCAAGACTGCATTGCCATTCACAGCCTGTCCTTGCACCAATCCCTTACTCCCCATGTACCCCCCCCATGAACCCCTCACCCCAGCTGACACCACATTCACTGGCTTGCCTGTCCCTGTCCTTGTCCCTATGCCCAGATCCCTGCTGACTATGGCTCAGTGACTCCACGGAACACTGGGGACGAGATGCTGGGTGAGGGCAGACACGGGGAAAGGCACAATGACACAAGCCAGATGTGGATGAGGTGAGGTAGGTGATGGGGAAGGACCTTCAACAAACTTAACCCCAAGCTCTGGGGTGGGGAAGACACCAGCACATTGGGGACATGACAGTGGTGGAGGTGGAGATCACAGGGCAGCACTGCGCTGAGGGAAAAACATTGGGGGAACACCCCTGGGGGAGAGGGACACTACACAGTAATTCTGTCATTGAGCGCAGCACGCTGCAGTGTTAGAATGGGCCAAGGGGCAGGTGAGGGGAGGACATGCTTTCCCACACACAGGGTGACACGAGATCCAACAACACACGAAGACTAATGAGACACGCACAAGATGGGGTGGGGACAGTGAGAGAGGACACTGCTGCATACAGATCACAAACCCATGGTCTTCGTGACACTTTTTGCTGAGGCCGCTCTACCACATGGGCCACACGCACTCTGCACACCCTGGATATTGGGCTCAACTTCAAAGGTTGAGGACACATGAAGGGGAAAGGGGGTAAGGGCACAGAACACTAGATTCAGTCGGCTTCAAAACATTGACTTCATTTATTTCACAAGTGTGCAGGCTCACAACAAACCCGAAAAGGTACACAGAGTAAATTGGCATCTGTAAGAGGGAGGGCACTGTGTTGGGAAGTGGCACGGACTGGGTGCCGATGCATTATCGGAAAGGGGGGGCGGGGCAAAAACACCAGAATCATTTACGGGGATGAGGGGCTCGCCAAGCCTAGGACACCAG